AATAATACATATATATTTTTAAGTATTACAATCTTTTTATTCATTTAATTTCAGTTCGCCTGGGATAAAAATTGTAACGGAAATTTTGATAAAGGTGCAGGCGAACAGAACTGGTAGGGTGCAAAGTTTTATTTAACAGTACAGTAACAGTGTATAGGGGGAAAATGTTAGTTAACAGTGCACGCGGTACTTTCAACTTAATATTATTTTACATTGAGCTAACATATTTCTCTTCACTAATCGTGGGGGTCTTTTCGTCTGCAAATAAATGTAATTTACTCACACTCCGACAAATAACTGAGCCGAGCCAACGACAGCGTCGGTTTTATAACGAGCTCTTTCGCGATCGATTTTATTTCGCTCTGGTTCTCCCCGAACATTTGGTTGTGTTTGTATGATTATGTATTGGTTGTATGCGTGAATCGTGTTGACTATGCGCTCAACTCCTATATAAGTAGCACTTTTTACTCAGCTGCTCATTTCTTTTCGCCTGGTGCACCTAAAAATATAGTTTAAAGCTGCTGGCCCCAAATGGGCCATACCCTCGAAAAGTTAGTCATATATAAATATAATCTCATATTTTCCAAATGCTTGAAACACAACTCAATAACTAGACACTGCAAAAGGTACACATTTAACATTGAAGACTTATGGGAAGAATACACTTAAAGAAAGATTATTGTATATGTGCAGAGGGATTCCAGGGAGAGTCGTCATAGCATATCCCCCAGTCCCAAACAACCTTCTACAGTGCAACTTGATCTGCAGTTGGATGTCTGAAGGGAAAATTTGAACTAATAAAAGTATAGAAAATGGGCGTTGATCATTTTGAGTGGTTCAATGCGACAAATCAAACGTCGCTTCGCCCCCGAAGGCATCTAGCCTTCGCACATCCTCTAGTGCCGGTAAGTCTGTGGCCAAATCATATTTAAATGCTGTTCTTATCAGACACGTCGCTTTAAATTTGCAGGATAGCTGTGAGCGAATCGTCTTTCTGGACAAAGAAGAGCGCTGCAAGTATGCAAACACGAATCCATCGTGCATAAACCAGGTGTTCCTGTTCAACTACAATGCGTTCTTCTACTGCCAATGCGATACGGACGATCTGCTGAGCTTGGCGTGCACCGTCTGGCTGCTTCTCGAGTGCGTGCTCATCTTCTGGGTCATCTACTTTACGACCATTCAATAGTGAGTATTCCAGCCGATAGTAGAGGATAGCAGGGCGTAACCGATAACTGAATATCGTTTCAGTTTTGTGCCAGCTCTTACGGTCATAGCGCGCATGCTAAATATGAACGAATATGTGGCCGGCGAGACCATACTGACCTTGGGCAACAATGCTCCATCGATTTTCGGCAGCGTGCTTGGTATGAAAAATGAGTCGCGTCACGGCTACTCCGATACGATGTCGATAAATCTATTTATGGGCGTCTTTGCCACATCGCTTATCATGTGGGTGAGGCCCTTGGCCATCGATAGCGATTACTTTCTGCGAGACATGGGCTTCGTCTTGCTCTACGTGACCTTTGTGGACTTTTCGATTTATTACACCAGAGGCTATTTATCGATTGGATGGGCCGTGGCTCTATCACTCATATGCCCCATTTACATTGCCATTATACTTATCGATCAGTGTTTGCAAAATCGCAAGGATAGGGGTAGGCTGTCCACTAAATATGTGCCCGCATTATCGTCTAATCTTCTTCGTTTTCAGCATTGAGTCTGTCTATACCAAATACTACGGAGCCCGAGCCCGACCGCATGACCCATGTGAGAACAAGCTCGGCAACCAACATGGTTCGACGGTCGCCCAATGATAAAATATTCAAACAGTTCTTTAGAGTCCTGGACACCTTGGACAGAGGTCGGTTCTCCAGCCCGTGGGCGTTCTGCAAGCTGTGGGCCCTGGTTAAGGTGGTGCCAATGATTGTCTTGCGCCTCTTTATACCCGAAATATATAAGGATCAATCAGCTCACTCGTACTCAAAGCTGCTCATGTGCATTCAGATAACCCTAACGCCCACTCTCACCATGGCATTCATTGGTTCGTATTTGGTGTATTTCCTGCGTTTGGCAGAGATCTCTTCACATACCACCTTCGCCTGGCTTAGCTGAGAAATTTGACAAATTGTCCGACAAGAAGATCCTTGTGCTCATGGTCTGTGTTGTGGTCCTATTGCCCTTATCGATAGCTGCGTTATTCTATTCGCGCACGGATACGGTGCCCAAGTGGTACAGGTCCATGGAGGCATTGAATCTCATGGGCTGTCTGTTGGTTCTCTTTGTGATGACCAAGGAGCTGAACTCCTTGCTGGAGGCCGTTGGCATTATCGTCAAACGCAGTCACACCTTCATTGGCTGCACCCTCTACACCTGGGGCTCTGGATGGTCGGATCTGTTGCTCAATTTGAGCCTGGCTCGTAAAGGTCTGCCACGCATGGCCTACTCGGCTTGCTATGGCTCCATTATATTCTGTAAGCCAACTATCGCAACTATCGCAACTATTGCACTATCGATCAATGTCTACAACTGTCTCTTTTCAGCCATCTTTTCGTCCGTTTGCATACCATATCTTTATACCGCCATAGCGCCAAGTTCAACAGGAACCAACTATGTAAGTAAGATATTCTTCATATCAAGATTGAGTACTGATCTTTTCAAATCCATGCGGATGTAGTATGATCGATATTCTGTCTTCCATTCGCGATTAGTATTACTATAATGCATTTGATTTTCAATCTAGGTTACCAGGGGCACTCTGGGCGCTACGGCCTCTACTTTTCTTCTCATAAGTCTCGTATTGACAATTCTCTATGCGGTTTCAACGAATTTCATGCTGCGTCGCACGGGCGCATTGGTGGGCATAACCATGTATGTGTTATTCCTGATATTTTGCGTCTTCACCGAGTTTGAGATAATCCACGCGTATGGAACCGATCACACCCTGGATCACGACCATTACGATGAGAGCTATAGCACATGAGCCCGAGCTCTGAAATGAGTTCACTGTGAATTTGCAATCAGTTTAAATTAAATCAGACTAAAATAGTAAATTTGCATTTTTATTTTGTTCACTTTTTTTATTATTATTATTTTGCTTGGGATTTTATTAACTGGCTTAGAATGAAACAATTGAGGCGCATTGGATGGGGAATCAAGCAACATCGCCGCATCTACCTAGTCGCCTTACTGTCGTGCGCTTTGGTCTACTATGCCATCAGCAATCGAATGCCAAGTAGCGAAGATGCCCAGCAGTCATTCGATCAACCGATCGAGGCGGGGTATTTTGTGAATACCTCGGGCTGTCGCATGTTCGCCCTCAACCCTTGGCCAGCGGCACTAGCCTCGTATTTCCATCGACTGGACAATTACGCATGCAGTAAGCCAGCCATATTCGTAGCCAAAACGATGCGGGAAAAGAACTATTTACTGCGAACTTTGTCGGATGAGAAGGTGCTTAGACTCTTTCAGGTCAATCGAGTTTCGGATGTTGTCTGCACATATAAAACAGTTAGGCGTGTTGACGATCTCACCAATAAGTATGGTAAGGAGACAACTTTTCGGCTAGGCAGTCGGAAGATTCAAGTCAAAGTGGACGATGGATCGACCACATTGAGAATTTGGTGCGTCGATAGAAACAATCAGACGATCTATCGTGATGTGCATTTCTTTCTGCCTGCTGCCAATCGTCAAAAAGCGCGACTCAAGTCCTCGTCCGCAAATCGTCTGTCGGTGATGATAATTGGCATCGATTCGATCTCACATATGCACTATCTACGCTCCATGGATCAGCTGTCCGGCTACATCAAAACTCTGCCTCATGTGGAGTTCTGGGGCTATAACAGCGTGGGGGCCGATTGGTACGCCAACTTGATGCCGCTCCTGAGCGGATTGAATGCCAAAGAGCTGAAGACAAGCCGCTGCTATCACTCAAATAGCTACGATGATTGCGGCTTGCTTTGGAAGCACTTCAAGGCGGCTGGCTACAATACGAGCTATGCCGAAGACATGATTGGATCCAGCTTTAGCCAGGATCAGTTCCGCTTTCGCCAACAGCCCACGGACTTTTATCTTCGACCCGTGATGCGAGAGGTGCATAATCACACAGGCTACGTCATAGATGAGCTAGATGCCATCTCTTGTACTGGAAGTCGCAAGTATTCCGATATTCTGCACGAGTTCTTCTACAAGCTGACACCCCATATCGAGCGCACTCCCAGCTTCTCGTTCTTTTGGCAGTCCCAGGGCGTGCACGACTACCTGAACTATGCCCAGTTGCTGGACATGAATTATCTTCGGTTATTTCATCACTTGACTGAGAATGGGATACTTAACAGGACTCTGGTGCTCCTGATGTCGGATCATGGAATGCTCTCCAGTTCGTATAGCACCACCTATCAGGGCACGCTCGAAGAGTCGCAGCCCCTGCTAATAGCTATATATCCCAAATGGCTAGAGGAGGCTTACCCTCTAGCTATTTCGAATCTGCACAGTAATGATCGTAGTCTCGTCACAAGCTTCGACCTGCACGTGACCCTCAAGGACCTGACTAACTTGGAGCTGCTTCGCGATACAAACATTGAGAGCCAGATGATAAAGCTTGCAGCACTGGGTCGCAATATGGCCCGAGGTATCAGCCTATTCCTGCCGATACCAGAAACACGTACTTGTCCAATGGCAGGCATTCCCCCCGATTATTGCCTCTGCCACACCTCGATGCCGTTAGCTCCCGACGACGAAAGAGCCCTGATAGCAGGTGCATTTGTCGTGAAGCAGATCAACCTCATTATAGGAAATGAAGCACATTGCAGCCAACTGATACTGGGGGTAGTGAAGACGGCGCATGTCCTAAGCCGGGATTTCGATGACTACGGGTTCGATGTTCAGGTTCGACTGCAGACATTGCCAGGCAAGGGACTCTTTGAGGCAACCACCCGATTCCTTGGAAACTCAATAGACCTGAATGGTCCCATTCTGCGGGCCAACAAACATGGCAATGAATCCTACTGTGTGGATAACAAACGCATTGAATTATTTTGCTTTTGCACAAAATCTTTTTAGAGAAATCAAATTAGCTTTCATTTTAATCTATTTAATGAGTTCCACATAAACCTCACCGTTGTGTTGTTTTTTTTTTTTTTTTTTTAAGTCTAGATAAAAGTAAAACTAGTATGAGACTTTGTTCTGACTGTGGGCACGGCCCAGCTGAAATTTGGTAAATTCACTGTTTTATAAAATATATCTAGAGCATATATAGATCCAATTCTATTGTTTATCTAAATTGCACAAAGGACAATGTGATATTTTAGTTTTAATACATTTTTTTCTTGAGAAAACAGATGCATCACGCTTTCCACTATGCTAATACGCCCCTATTCGAATTGATCCACATTGAAACCGAGTCGAGTTCATAAGCACTGCTGATAAGGGCAATTACAACAAAGCATTTGTTAGATATCACCCGGTCGAGTTTGTGCCTAACAGTCGAGCCCCGCTCCATAAACGAGCTACATATATTTTCATTTCCATTTCCATTCCCATTTTCTGTTTCGGTTTCAGGCTTTCGTGGCGGTCCCTCAGCGAAACAAGCTCTGCGTTAGCTCAATTTGACGAACTGATAAATGTCAAATGGTTTATGACACTCGGCTTTCAATTCTGATTTCATCGAGTTTTTTTCTTTTTTTTTTATACCCTAAACTCCTTGCATTTGGGTAAATATATAAAGGGTATATTGGTTTTGTTAAAGGGCACGTAATAATATTTTATATTTATATTTTTTTATATTTTCATTTTATACTCCAACAATGAGCTGAAAGCATAGTAGTCATACTATACTATACCATACTATAATTGGGATAATTGTATTATATAAGCTTTATTTCAATGTAATGACTCTAGAATGGGATAAGTAGACCGTTCGCTCAAGTCGAACTAGGCTCAGTTCTTTCTGTAATGATATCTAAGATGACGAGAAGTACACTCAGATCTCCGTTTAAATCAATTCCAATTGTTTTTACTTTCTCGCTCTCTCTATATTAATAAATTATTATCAATACAAATGATTTTAAATTGAGATCAGAGTTTTACACAGCTGATAATGTTATACACATTGCCAAAATCGAGTGGACTTTATGATATCAGATAGAGTATCGTATCTTGTCTACGAAAAACATTCGACATTTGTATTGTCAGCTGTGTCATAGATTTTGCGTGGTGCTTATGCTGGCTCAGTTTATGAGCATTTTTATATTTATTGTCTCTGAATATGTTTTGTTGATGCTTTTTGTTTGGATTTGAATTTATGATTTTGGGCTTTCGTCTCTTTTTGATTTTTATATAGGTTATAATTTCCGATTGTGAACCATAAATATTATTGTTGTTCGCTTGGAATGGTCGCAGCACACTAAAAGTGTTACAGACGTCTGCGGTTGTTAATGGAATCGTCTTAAGACCAAGCAACAAAAAGCTTTTTGTTCAATTTGCTAAATACGAATGAAAATGAAAGTCTTTAATTACCTGTTGTTGAATAAAAGATTAAGTATAATCTTTCATATATGGTATTCCCAAGAAACTCTTACTTTATCAGTAAGGGGAAAACATATAATTCAGATTAAATAAAAATATAAAGGGAAAATAAATGTATATAAAAGACTTTGCGTACTGGAAAGTTATCTTATTTGATGATTTGACTCAATTTCATTTCATATGTTTAACAGGCTCTACATTTAATTGTTGTTTCAATAAAAAGCAAATGATGTACAAAATAAATAAATAAAATGTGTAAAAATCCTTTACATGAATCAACAATAGCTGCTGGCATTGGGATTGCCCGCAGCGGATAATTTGCGTCAAAATGTCAGTTTATTTGAAGAGCGAGTGGCCCAAGTCGCGAGCGATGAGAGACGTGCAATTGAATTAAAATTAAAATATATAGCGCAAAGGCTGACGCGAAACAAAAAATGAAAATGCAAATAAAAATTGCATTCGTTATAATTTTCAATTTATTTACGAGTTGCATGTGTGTGTGTGGGGGTGTGTGGGTGTGGGTGGGCATTCAGTGTTGCAACAAAAATTATAAATTTAAAAAAATAATTAAAAACCATTTGGCTGGTGCACCGCGGATGCCAATGCCAAATGCCGGGATTCAGTTTATTCAGTTTGTCCACGGCACACAACTCGCTTTCAATTAATGCAAAATGTCCTAAAATGAACGCATTTCTCACTGATTGTTGGCGATTGTCAAGCGGCTCGCTGCGTACAAATTGGAATGCGTCCGCGAAACGTGATCCCCGGGTGAGCCGCACGGTGCCAATTCCGATTGTCAGCCGAGAGCCCACAGTGCATAGCTGCGTTTATTCTTTTTGTTTCGTTAAATAATGGGATAAAAGTATATGAAATTAAGCAATGGACTGTTCCAGCTGCCAACTGACAACTGCCAACTGCCAACGGGCAACGGACAACGGGCAACGGCTAACAGCCAACTGCCAGTTGCCAGTCAGCTCTTTCAAGTTTGTTCAAATTGTCACATGAGATTTTAATACATTAAGCCAGCAGCGAGACTCTCACATAGCATACAGAGACCTCTTCCATAAATAATTTTGCATTTAGCAAAAATCAGCAACTATTTTAATATTTGTCAATTCAATTCTCCAACTATAAATTGATAATTCCAAAAATAGTGCATGCCAATGTATTTAAAATTTCTAAATATATCCATTACGGCTGAAGTCTTCTAGGTCTTATCGTCTAGTCAACATCAGCGTAGTATTTCCAAGTGCTCTCGATTGTAAATTCGGCTGTCTGGGGGCCACAACGTCAATGTCCAAGTATAAATCTCAAATTGGGCAAACAGGTAATCACTCAAATCGCCCTGATTTGGCTCAGATTGTTAGTGCCATAAATAGTTGTCAATGGCTGGACGGCTGGTGTGTGCGAATGGCTCATAAATTAATTCAATCAATGTCAGAAAGAAATTGTTATTTCACATCTGAGTGCGGTCGTAAATTGCCAGCCGTGTCGATCTTATCGCTAATCGATGTGTATGTCGGGCGGGTGGGTCGATGTGATGGGGTTGCAGCCATCAGCCATCAGCCCATTGCGCGCTCATACTGCGACTATTCGTGGCCCATAAATTAGGACAAAACTAATTTCTAGTATATATTTTATGGGCGCATCTAATTGTCCCAGCGATAAGCATTTGTTGAGCATGCTCTCTGCTGAAAAGTGAGTGTATTCATTGCCTTTATATGAGTACTTATACTTGATGTTCTTATGGGCGATGTATTCATTGCCCAGTGAAGTCAATCAAAGATTCATCTGTCAGCTGACAAATGATTTTAAAATCCCTTGCGCAAAGCTGCATCACTTAGCCCAGAGCCCAGGAGTCAAGCTACTGCTACTACAAGTACTGACATTGGACACTGAATGAAAACAGAGAAAAAGAGAGAAAGAGAGAGAGAGAGAGGGGAGACAGAGAGAGAGAGAGAAACACACACATTCCACAGATATCGGATGCGGGAAACAGACACTTTAAATGCTTGCGATATTGTCAATCAAAATCCAATCGAAGCCATGAATCATGACAGCCAGAGGATGGTTATGCTGATGATGGCTTCAAGAGCGACTCTCATTCAACACTGATGGATAGATGGATGGCTGCCTGGCTGCCTCGATGCCTCGATGCCTCGCCTGCCTCGCCTGCCTCACTGGCTGCAGTTCGAAAAAATTGAAATCGCTCAAACAGTGAATGCGTGTTGAATGCTGTTGCCCCCTGCACCCCTTGTCCCCCTCGCCCACCAAGTGCCAGGCACTTGTCGTTTAAGCAGCACTGGCAAAAAGCATTTAGCATTGGCATCCTGTAGCCAGCCTCATGCCACATGTCACATGCCACACGAGATCCTCATGCGAGTGTCGAGTACATTGGGCTCCTCCTCATCCTCATTCTCATCATCATCAACATCATCATCTSGAACGTCGCCATCGTCATCAGTCAATGTCATTGAGATAGTTTTGACATTTTTATGAGCAAATGATAAGACCCACTCGCTCAGCTGGGTGCTCGTCTGATGGCCAATGTTTGACACTTGCCAGCCCCACTCGCAATTCACAATTCGCATTCCACCACCACCACCACAACCTCTCTTAGCCACACGAGTTGTAGACAGTTTTTTTTTGTTTTCTTTTTTTTTTTTTTAATATTGTCTGTTAGCGTTTATTGTGTGCATTTGAAATTTATGACTTCAAATGGCTTGATTATCTACGTATACGTTATTTTTTGCTGTTTTAAATTTAACGCTGACAGAATACAGCCCTATCTTCCAGTATTGCCACAGCTATCTATCATGATGGGCAGACCCAGACATAGTATTTAATGACCTCATTAAACATTAGTCACTTTAAATGGCAAACTGGGATCCCCTGCCTCACAATGGCTGATAGTAAATACATCGAATTTTTTGGCGGACTTACAGTCTGGTATATACAAAATACAATATATAGAATATATTA